GACATTTTTGGAATCCATGATATTCGTAGGATTCTTCTGTAACGCCAAAACTCAAAGGCGGCCAACTTATTCAGATGGACTTGTTTTAGTGTCCACGCTTCCAAGCCATAAGGAAGAGTAGAGAACAAGTAACATCAAAGCATTCTCAAGCGTAGTTCTAACCTTATATCCCGACAACAAAGAAACTTTTTTAAAGTTTAATGAATGGTGTACGTGATATTTCAATGCGTGTCTTTCTTCAATGCGTGATATTTCTTTGTAACCATGTAAGGCGGAGTTAACGAACAGGGTCTGTGGAGGAGGAAATACGAATTTACAACTCTATAGACTTTGTGCTGATACAGATATCGTAAAAACGATATCGTAGTTGGGCCGATCGGAAAGAGAAGAAGGGAATGACATAAACTCAGGTATCTGGACGATATGCATGTCAATTTAAGGGAGATTGGAGTAAGGAGATGAAGAAGACAGACACTCAACAACGCAAGGAAAGGATCAAAGGATGGTTTAAGGCAGGTCAGAACCAACGAAAGGCTCTAACTCCAACTGATGATGGATATAGCCATCCACCAGGAAATTTTCCCCTTTACTTTGTTAATAATAAGTTATTTGCCAACATTGCGTATAAGTTTTTATTTCTTTATCTGGTTAATATCACTTGTTTCGTGACATTTACTTTTCTGGGAGCCATAACCGATTTGGAAATGACATAGTAGTGATGGTTAGCAAAATGTTGATCATCGTCATCATCAGTAGCTCGGCAACCCTTTTTGGGTCTTGGCTTGTTCTAGGGTTTTTCGCCATTCTGTTCTGTTTTTTACTTTGTTTTTCCAGTTGGTAATCTTAACTGTTTTCAGATCTTGTTCCATATGTCCCATGTATATAAATGTGCTCTTTCCTTTGACCTTATCCCTACTAATGTTTGCTTTATTATATGTTTTGGTGTTTTACAGCAAAATGATGATAACAGTGTAAAAACTATGAAAAAATGATCATATCATTGTTATAAGATTTATTGCTACTCCCGACAATCTAAATGTGGTACAAGTATTAGATTTAGATCCAACTCTATCTCTCACAAGCAAAGCAAAAAAGGAGAAAATTAAAAAGTTCTATAATCTGGATAATATTAAATTATTTTTTTGTTCAAACGTCAAATAATGATGACATTACTTATCTAACTTAATCCTGTCAAAGTTTAATGTCTCCGCCGGCAGCAGTTTTTTTTCCATTTCTTTACGTCGGAGGGAGAATGTTGTCATAGCAACAATATGAAACATGTTACAAAGCAACAATACAAATGTCATTAACAACAATTAAACATCATTTTTATTTATAGTAATATTAAAAGTACAATTAGTTAACGGGGCATTTTCAAAATTGAAACCGTGCAAAAATGTTCCCGACTCTTGATACGAATTAGTAATTGTTGATGATACTGATGGTCGAGAACAGCTTTCAGCAATCATTTCCGATGTTGGCGAATCATGAGGGTTTAAAATTTTTTGGGCATTATCTTTCTTATTTCTTATTGAATCCTCTATATATCCTCCGGCAACCGTGCTTGATTTCCAGCCCCCTATCCAAAAAAATAGTATACTTTATTCGGCAAAGAAGCGACTTTTCTGACTTGCCCTCTATTACGCGCCTCACTTCGTTCGGTACGTAATATCGGGCGCGTCAAGAAAAGTCATGTTTCTCCGCCTCATAAAGTAATATACTATTATTTATGGAAATATTTAATCCTTATAAAGATCTTTGCAGAAAGACTTTTGAGCCACATAGTTTGGTTATGCCAAAACACAATAACAAAGCGTGATATGACTGAATAAGAATATGCCAAATTTTATACTGTACATAACATTGACTGTTATAAATAAATATTATTAAAATAATTATTTTCAACAAGTTTTTTTAACATTTTATCTTTGCGTTTAATCATCGTTAAACGAGTATAGACCAAAACATTTTAAAATGTCGCGTGCATTAATTATTAAAATGCACATAATCTGAATTAACCAATAATTTTTGGACATGTGTTTTAGAGAATAGGTATTGTAAATAATCTATCATTTTTATTTTCTGTAAGTAGATACTTTAAGATTAAACTTATCTCTAGAAATTATTGTTTACTTAAGTTATCTAAATTTTTTAATTTTTTGAATTTTGACGAAAGATTTTTGTAAGTTCTGCAAAATCAAAAAATGGAATAAAAAAAGAAAAAAACAATGAAAAAGAGAAATCCCGAGGAATGGGATATAACCTTTTAGATCTATATACCAATCTAATATGAAGAGCCCCAAAACTATCACCTAATGCTTTTTTAATCTTACATGTCGAAATTATTGAAATACTAATACCAGTATATTTTACCAGTAAGTTCACCACTTTTTATTTCAATGGAAGAAAACCATTGTCAAAATATAACATACCAGCTAATATGAAGAAAATGAAAGATCGAAAAGTTCTTTGTGTAAAAGCCTACAGAAACTGATAGCAGCTTCTTAGTATTCCTGATTTAAAACAGAAGCTGTTAGTATTATGAGGAAAAATTACACAAGCCGACAAGCCTGAGACTCGTTAAATAAAGTATAATTTTTAGAAAGTTTTTAGTGCGCAGAATACGAATATTGATCTCTTAATCCGAATTTTGATCAAATTCAGGTGAAACATTTGACATATACTTTACAAGGACGTAATATTATATTTTTGTTAGGTAAATGAAACTATGATGTTATATTTTATTCAAAAAAAGACAATAAATATAGTAAGGTAAGCAACAATGAGTTTTAAACTCCTCATTTCTTTTTCTCCTCATTCAAGACGCGCTTTCTCTGAATTGCTTTTTGCAGCATTCTCTGCTTCTGCTCCAAAATTATTTCTCTATTTTGCACCCTTTTTGCAGCCACCTACTCCATTCATAACAGCAAACGACAGCATTCATAACAGCACTCCTTAGTAGAAATTAAAAATATCAAAGATATTCCATTTATTGATACACCAAGATATTCCGAAAGAAGAAATACTATTAGAAGAATAAATGGGAAGAGTGCATACTCATAGAGTACTTCAGTCTGATCAGCTGGTCCCAGTTTTTGATTGGAATCGTAAATCTGAATAACTTTGAATGTTCTCTTCGATCATGTTCAGGTCCATGGCAGGATATTTTTAAAGCAACACCAGAGGCAATAAACTGGATGGCAGTCGCAGCATCAACGTTCATTCATGCTTGTTAAGTTTGTTTTTTAGTTATTTATAAATATATACTTGTATTTATTTTTATTCTACATTCTATATTTTATATTTTTAGTAGAGCGAAGGAACCAAAAGATTTTACTTCTATTAAATGTATTTGGAACAAAAAGCTTAATTTAAACTTTATAACCTAAAGCTGAATTCATATTTTTAAATTTTTCCTAAATTTATTGGACAGTTTTATTGACATTAAAATATTCTTTTTTATTTGGAAACTTGCATCGATCAAATGGCCATTAGCTTAAAATTAGTGGATTACATTAAGTACAATTACTACATTACAATTTGGTTTATTAAATATTGTGGTACATATTAACATCTTTCAATATTTTAACAGTATTGTTAAAGTTATAGTCTGCACCTTGAGCTTCTAGAAGTATTCCTGGTCTCTTGTTTTTACTTCGTTGTTGATTGTAGGGGGGTTAAATTTTGTAGAACATCATTCATCAATCAACGTAGAACTTATAACAGATCCCTAAGGAATTCCATTTTCTAATACCACTTTTGACGTCTAAGTACTACTTACTCTAAGTTGCATATACCTTTTATATAAGAAGTTTTTTATAAATACAAAGCAATATCCTTCAATTTCTAAATCGTACAGTACTCTGATGATACGGTGGCGCCAAGCTGATTCAAAAGCTCTTTTAATATCAAATAATATTCACACAGACATTTTTGATTAAAGGAGCACACTGCTTTCTATGTCTATAATATTGTCTAGAGTTGATCTATTTTGTCAGAAAGCACTTTGTTCTGGAATAATAATATTTTGATCTTCAAGTTTCCAGAGAAGACAACGATTGACCATTTTTTCTAGCAGTTTGCATGCAGTACATGTATGTGTAATTGGTCTATAACACTCAGGATCTGTTTTGCGACATTTTGGTTTTAATATTGATATTATAATCGAATTTTTCCATGCTGTTGGAAATTTTTGTGCTGACCAAATAATATTAAATATGTTGAGAAGATGATTGTATGCATTCTCAGGTAAATGCGTAAGAAAAACCATTGGGATATTATCTGGAGCCTCACTAGTCTCTTTAAATGAGTTTAATGCATCTTCGTGTTCATTTATATTAAATTTGGTATTTAAAGCATCTGTATCATCTACAAACGGTATAATTACATTGCATTCTTCGTTCTGTTTAAAGTTGATAAAATTATTATTATAATTGCTTGTATTAGATTGCTATTTTTATACGTATCAGCAATTTTTTTTGCTATTTCTAGGTTATATGTGATTTATTATCTTTCTTTAGTTGAGTGATTTTGTTATAAGCCGTATTCCAGATATTTTTTTGACATTCTTCCACATTTCAGACATAGGGGTCTTACTGTTTATAGATATTAAAATTTCATCTACTCAAAAACTAAAAAAAAAAACACAATTCGTTCGTTTACCCTTTTATTTATTTATTTTTTAATTAAACGGTATGCATATTTATGTTACACAATCTATAGACTACTTTTTAAACTACATATTATGAGAACAATACAACATGAATAAAAAATAAAATGTTTATATAGAACAACCACTTTAAAATTTCAAACGTTAATAAAAAATTGATTTTACAATGAATATTATGGTATTTTTTCAAAAATGATATTTATTAAAATCTATATTTTCATTCAATTTTCTGGCCTATAACATACCGTCATTTCATAGAGATAATAACGAAGAATCTAAGCCTATCGTCAACAAAAATTATAAAAACTTAGTCAGAGATTTATGAAAATAACAACAGATAAACCAACTCACGAGAATTGGCCTTATTTATAAAAATAAAAAAAAATAAATTTAGTGTATATAAAGTAACACATTTGAAAGGATGAGGAAATTTAGTTTTAACAATGAAGGTTTTAGTTGTGTTGGTTTTTATTTTAGTTTCTGAGGTAAATATCTAGGTTCTTTTTGATTTATCATTATTCTCTTTAAGTTTTTCATACTTAAACGATAATCATTTTTTTATGAAAAAATGATTCTCCTTTATCGTTTATAAATAAGGAATTTTTAACAATTGACCGAAAATAACAGAACAACTTAGAACGAAATTATACAGCATACACAAGAAATAATACGAGGAAAATAACAATACCATAAATAACATGATTATCAGAAAAACTTAAAAGGATAGGAAATAAATTCAACATTTTAACAACATTCAAAACAACAAACACATTAAGATCTATTTTGTAAGTATAGTTTTGTAAAGTTTTTGCAAGTTTTGTATCTAAAACAAAACCTAACAGTGAACAAGAAAGGACAAATAATTATAAAATAATTATAAAATATATATAAATGCGATCAGTTTTATTTAGGTGAAACATCAAGGCCATTAAATGTTAGAATAAGTGAACATCAATCTTATATTAAAAATAGAGAATTTGATAGATCTCAAATATGTAATGGATAACGAACATAGGGTTTAATGGAATGATTCAAATATACTTCTAGAAGAAACGGATGGTAAAAAGAGAAAAATCAAAACAGCGGCTCTAATTATGCTAAACGAGACCAATTATGTCGCAAATTTCTCAGCAGAATGTAGTAGGAACTGGTTACTCATATTAAAAGAGGAAGTTATGTTTTTACAAATAGATTACATGACGACAATGTTAAGAGAAAACATGTATGAGCAGTTGGAAAAAACTAATAAAATTATTGAGATTTGTGGCAAAACAAATACGATTAACTTTGTGTATTACATTGCTTTATTTCAGATCTTGGATTTGTTTTGATCTCAATTTTTTTTTCTTCAACATCCCATTTTCTTCTTCTTGTATTATTGTTACAAGCATAAATAATATTTGTTTTATTTTTTATTGACAACTGCTTGTTTTTAAATCCCATATAATAATTATTATTTTACATATGTATTTCTTCTTTCAGGTTTTGTCTGTAAGTATTTCTAACAGACTACAGACTCCATTACCTAAAGCTTCTAGTCTCAACTATGATCCAAATCTGTCCAATATACTTAAAAATATTCAAAATATGGACGGAATTGTTGAAAATTTTACGACAAATATTTTAAGAAGCCACTACCGCAGTTTAAATCAAAATTTAACTGACCTAGATCGACGTCTAGCTGGTAAGTCTCTACTCTTATAGACTCATTTTTGAATGTTTAAAAAATTATTTATTCTTTTAAAAGCTTTTTTTAATAAAATCGTGTATACATCATTATCATCATAAGTGGTTCGACAATCCGTTGTGGATCTAAGCCTGCTCAGTGCTCACAAAGACGTCGCTACTCCTGTCGATTCCTGAAAACTTCCCTTCATCTTCTGACCCTTAGAATCTGTAGGTCTGAAACTAGTTTCACAAGTTTTGTCCTTCAATTCTAACGCATGAGCTTATGTTTGCATTACTAGTTGGGTCAACTTAACCAGCTTAGGTGAGATCCCAAAGTCATATTGCATTATATATTGTAGTTCCTTTCACACTGGCATAGGCTGCTTTGAAGTCGACGAAAAGATGGAGTGTGTCTATGTTATATTTGATTGACTTTCCTAAAATCTGCCTATGTGCTTGAATTTGATAAATAGGTAACTTTCCAGCAGTCAATCTGCATTGATATTGACCAACAAAAACCTTTGTAAAACAATTCTTTCAAACAATTACATCGCCGAATATTTTATATGCAGATGCTAATAAAGTAATGCTTCTCTAGTTTTATGCAACATTATTCCATTTAGCCACTCTTCTAGTACCAATTCATTCTGCCATAAGTACTATTATTTTATGGATTGCTGCATAAATTTGCTCACCATCTTCTTTGTACATTTTCGAACAGATTTCATCGATTCCTGAAGCTTTATTGTCTTTGAGTTTTAGGATGGTGTTTGACACTTCTTCTGTTGGGTCTTGGGTCTTCACTGTGTAGCTGACGTTGTTGATTTTGTTGATTGTCTATGTCGTAACCTCCTTCAAAATCGTTTATATTTTATGATTATGTATGCATTAAGTTTAATTTAGGAATACGGTATCAATACAACGTCCTTGCCAACGTCTTTATCTATTAATATAAGTGACGAACCAGATAAGATCAGGTTTAAGGTAACATCTTGATGCTTATAATTGTCACCTTTACCCCATTGGCTAAACTTGGCTCAAATGAGGAGAAATGCCGCAAGAAATAATACTGCATAAAACTACTAAGCTATTTATCAGTTACTAAATGACTAAATAATAAAAAATTTCATGTATTAATAAGAAAGAAACAATCATAGCAGAACCATAACAATTCTGGAAACTCCATAGGATCATACAGCTAATTTTAATTTTTTGGATATTAACGAATATATTAATACTGATTCAAAGAGAAAGACATATTTATTTAGGTATGTAATAAATTAAGCTATGGTAAAGAAAATTTATGGTCTCCGCCAATGAGTCTAGTGCAGGAAAAATATTTTTTGTTTGATTCCATTTTTAATATTTTTCTTAAACACAACAATATATATTTTAGCCACTACAAACGAAGACATCATCGGCAGATGCGTTTCTCGTTTACAATTCTCCCGGTCCATTAAAGCCATTGTTAACGAACAAATTAAAAAGTGCGCTACCATTGTTTTGGCTGAATACCAAAACGTAATCACAAACAGTTTAAATATGGCGCAGGTGTTTATGAAATTTTCAACTATTGTCTGGACAGACATCCAACGATGTGGCTTGAATGATACGTGCAGATGGAGTATTGTTTTAGACGCTATTAACGAGGCTGGGCAGGTAAGAATATAATATACAGCTAGAAAGTAATTATTGAAAAACTTGAAGTGATACAATATTTTTAAATTAAAATTTTTTTCGTTCTATTTTGTAAGTTATTTTGTACGAGCACTAACTTATATTTTTGCAAATACAATGACCTCCGGAATACAAGAATTGAATAACTTTTAAATCAACTGATTGACCGTTCTAAAATTTCAAGGATTTTTTCAGCGTAAAGACTTTTACAATACTTATATATAGCAGTTATTGGAAGAACCAATAGGGTTTTTCCAGGGTAAGATTTCCTTTGGACAGTCCTACCAGGGAAAGTGGATCAATCCCTGCCCTCCGCAGATTTCAGAAGTTTCCTGACCCGGAAACTAGTATCTGCCTAGGGCATCTTGTTGAGGGTCACGGATGAAGACCACAACGGTATCCACGAGATTATGCATCCCTGCCTGACACCTGCCTCTGTTCTGAAATGATCGGAATGGGTGTTTTTTATTTTTACTGTGCACTTATTACTTTCATATAGACTTCTTATTAATTGAATTAGAACTTTGGGTGGGGCGTTCCCATTTTTGCTAGTATGGACCATAGCTGCTGCCATTTGGCTTTATCAAAGGCCTTTGTGTAATCCACAAAGCACATAAGCTTAGGAGTATTGAATTCACGAGTTTTTTCGATTAGCTGTCTGACATTAAGGATGTGTTCTCTTGTGCCTTTTCCTAGGACAAATTCCGCTTGTTCTTCTGATATCTGAGGCAATAAAAAAGCTTTTAATCTTTCATGTATTACATGAAGTAGAACTTTGCTGGCATGCAGTAGAACCGAACTAAGAGAGAATACTAGATTATGAAGCAGAGGAACAAACAGGATTTCGTACGTGTCGATCCATTATTAATCACATTTTTTCCTTAACCCAGATAATAGAAAAAGAGATGGCATAGCATCAAAAAATGCATATGTTGTTAGTCGATCTACGGAAAGCCTACGACAGAGTTCCACTAAATAAGCTGTGACAATCAATGCAAAGCACGAATATTAATATAGTGTTAATAAAAGCCATCAAAGTGCTATACAACCAACCAATTACAAAAATTAAAGCAGGGAGACAAATACAAACAGGAAAAATAACATCAAAAGTATTAAAGCGAAAATGTTGTCTATCCTCCACTTTGTCTAAAATATACCTCTAATGTGCTTTAAAAAGTGAAATGTGTTAAGTAAAAAGACAGCAAATATTTGATTTCACGCAAACAGCGCCTTTGTATCTGTTGATACGTATTTCGACCTAATAGGTCTCATCAGAACAGTTATTCAAAGGTGTTCTCAACGTGAAAGATCAATATTTTCTGTCTTTTAAGAAGCAACACTAAAATGGTTTCGATATGGACGCAATAGCGACATCTGACAATAAAAAAATTGTGTTTCGAAACTATTTTATTGCTTTAAAAAGATTAAAGCAAAAATGCGGGACAATGGGAACATCACTCAGCAACACTATGGTATATACGCTCAACTTTGCAGACGATCAAGAAATAATAGCTTAAGATTAGGACGATTTGAACTATATGGTAAGAAAATTAATTGAAGAGGATGATATATGGGTCTAGAAGTAAATAAAAAGAAAACCAAATACCTGTGCATTGGAGCAAAACAAAAAGATCTCATATTAGATGATAATACCACGATAAAGCACTGCTGTGACTACAAATATCTAGACATCACTATTTCACAAGATAGAACATTATACAAAGCCATTATAGAGAGAAATACGTCACGTAGAAACCCCATTACATTGTTAACCAGCATGTTATTTGACCAATCCATCAGTAAAGAAAATAAAAAGAGGATATATAAGACTATGGTAAAAAGAATTACTTTATACAGCTGTGGGGTATGGCCACTGAAAGAAAGAACACTGGCAACGGTGAAAGCGACGGAAATAAAGTTTTGGAAAAGAGCTGCAGGAAGATGTAAAAGAGCAAGGATTACCTACGAACACATTAGAGAAATAATGGGAATCAAACGAACAATCACAGATGAACTAAGAACAAATCAACTTTCTGGTTTGGACTCTTATAAAGAATGAATGAACAACGAATACCAAAGAAATATTAAAATGAAATTTAAAAGGAAAGAGAAAACAAGGTAAACCGAGAAAAAGGTGGAGCGAAGGAATAAATAAAGAACTGAAAGAGAGGGCCATAGAAGAAGACATATGGAACAACCAACTGGACTACTTAAGTGGCGATTGGAAGTCGGAAAATGGCGGAAAACATAATAAACCGATAAGTAGTAGTAGTAGTTTGTTAAATATTTTAAAAGACGAACTCCTTAAATTTTATTTAAAATAATGGTTTTATCTATACAAAACGTGTAGTTTTTTTATATAATAACTAAAACACTTGCTAGATACCTGGAATATCCATACTATAAATCACAATGATGGTCTTTTTTACTTATTTCCGTAAAATATTTAGTACCGAAACCATTTCTTTATTGTAAAACATTTTTTATCTTCTCTCGTTCATACTTGTTTAAATTATTTACTTAATTTTTGATTTACGATGGAAAAATTAGAGGCATAAGTACCTCCATAGCTTTTGTTGTGAAGACAATAGTTTCTAGAAACTATTACATCAACCTTAAGTGCCTTTACCCATTAGTTAGGCCATTAATATCAACAATTTATTAATAATATCGCGATAAAATTTTTAATTTTGGATCAAATAACAAGGATGAGTGTTTGTGTGCTCGTATAATGATAAGCTTATCAAAATTCAGGTGATAACATTTTTCAAAATTGTTTGTGGGTCATGAATAGATTATTTTTTATGAGGAGACTAAAGAAACATTATCTTTTAAGTATTTTCGGTGTTTTTCTAAAGTTTTGATCTATTGAAATTAGGTGGTAAACGGAAAGAAGTACTTTAAATAATTGATGTGTTGAAAGTTGTTATTTTACAGTTGATCTAATATTTTTTCTATCCGCTGGTGTTGTCATCGATAAAGACATCATATTGTGAGGCAATTTTGTGGTACTGTGAAGTATTTTCGTTTTTTACATATAATTGGACCTTATTGGAGCTTAACAAGACTGTGCAATGCATAAAATAGAATAAGTAATTTAAAATATTAATCACATTTGTACTAACTAATGTAATGGATTGTATATTAGGTTTTGTAGAATATAAATATTAATCAGCAGGACTAACAAAAATATAACACAACACTTTACTGATCAGGCAGAGGAGGAAAATCGCAAAACCGCACAGGCCTTCCCTGTCGTCACAAATCAGGCATAAATAATATACTAGAAGATATATTATAACTATTAAAAAGATTGTTTTTTTTCTTTGTCTCTCTTTGTCAACCATTTTCCATCCACTCCTAAATGTAGGTCTCTCCCAATTGCTTCCATCTTTCTCTTGCGCCATTTTACGCCAATCTAATCTACTGTTTGCCTGCCACTGTTTTTATGTCATTTACCCATCTTTTTTGAGGTCTTCCCATTTTTCTTGTTGTCGTTCTTGATCGCCATTCTAGAATTATCCGTGTCCATTTCTTGTCATTATATCGGGCTACGTGACCTGCCCACCGCCATTTCCTGTTTGTAATTTCTTTCATAATATACCTGATCTTCATTCTACGTCTTATATTGGTTTTTCTAATCTTGTCTCTCAGTGATATTCCAAGCATGATTCGTTCTATTGCTCTTTGCGTTGTTTCTAATTTTTAGCAGATTTTTTGGTAAGGGCTACTGTCTCCAAGCAGTAGATACAGATTATTAGTATGCATGTGTTAAACACCTTTTTCTTTAAGCTTACAGGAATGGAGGTATTTTTTAACATATGTGCTAGTTTGCTGAACGTGCCCCACGCCAGTTGTGTTCTTTTTTTAATTTCAGCATTTTGATTTTTTCTGGTTTGATGACATGATCTAGATATACATAATGTTCAACATTTTTTTATGGTATGATTTTTATTGTTATATTTGTTTGGTCTCGGCTCAGTATTTTTGTTTTATTGTAGTTCATTTTTAAGTCTACCGCTCCTGAAACTGCATTTAATTGTTGTAACATATCATTTAGTTTTTGGATATTATCGGCTATTAAAACTATGTCATCTGCGAATCTCAAGTGGTTTAAGTATGATCCCTCGACGTTGATACCCTTGTTGTTCCATTCTATTTCTTTGTCAATATGACTCAACAAAAAAAAAATCAATGTCAATATGTATCATATCAAAGTCTTGGTTTTAAAAAGCATCAAGCAAATTATTGAATTTCAGGATAATATCTCAGGAACTTTGATTACAATAATGGCGCCAAAGCATTTGATCTTAAATGGCTTCCAAATTCCTATTCAGTTAAGTATACTATTTCATCCAAAGATTTTTCTAGCACGATACTTTTAAGTGTTGCCAGTATATTTGATCCGTTAGGCCTCTTAAGTAATTACCAATGCCAAAGTATAAATGCAACAATTGTGGCTCTAAAAGTTAAGTTGGGATGAATTGGTACCTCTACAAATTAATACTGAATGGCCTGTCTTTTGGGAACGTAACGTCTAGGTAAAGGATTATCTTCTAGTTGAATTTTACGGTTTCTGTGATGCATTTGTAGTGCTTATGGCTTATACATTTATGTTCACTTCATTAATGTAAACGGCAAAGTTCAAATCCAATTGTTCTCAGCCAAATCTACGGTGGTCAGTTTAAAAAGGATGAAAATCGTATTTTTAGTCTTTAATTACTCTTTATTCTCTCTGTTATCCCAAATCTATCCCATCTCATAGTAAACTAACATAATCATCTAAGGTTCAAGCATGCCAGTCCTTAGCAATTCCCTTATTCAATTCGCGAATTATATTGACCCATATACTTAGACTCTGGCGCGTCAGATAGCTCATCTATGTCTGATCTGTTTTAAGTCTAGATCTTATGAAAAATCTACCAGAAATTATAGTCACTATACAGATTGAACGAATTTAAAACGGATCATACAATTTAATATATGTCTGTTTGAACTGCATTTGAAATAGTGGACCAATATACAACTTGGACAAAAATAAATCCATACCTGGCAATAGACATTGTATAAAATATCGTTCAACTATCTGTCTCGCAACAATGTTGTTTGCGTAACAATGTTGCCAATCGCCGTGTAATAATCCAATTTGCGGATCTTTTTGAGAGTTATATCTTCTTCGTATCTTTAAATAAATCGGATATTTGCCTATATTTTTCATTGTATTTACCAATCTACTACAACAGACTAATAACAAAAATAAACTTAATGGTTTGTAGTTATTTCCTTTCTTTTCTGTAAATATTTTATGGTTAACAACTTATTTGAGAAACATCTAGAGGAATTATTTTGGCAATACTGCTCAAAATATCTATCTATGGGAAGCGATAAGTGGTTTGACAGCATAATAAAATCTTAGATTATTGTGTAGCTTTCAATTTTTATACGTGATGGGCGGGGCAACCTATTTGGGTAGAGTTTTGAATTGTTCTTGAATGATTTCAAAATCCAGCAGCCCGCTGAAGTATTGAATTTTTATAATATAATTATTTGACAACCTTTTGTTGGCCAACCACCTAGAACAGAATTGAGCCGAAATACATAATATTTCGTATGTTCCGAATTTATTTCGTTCAATCTGTATACCTTCTCTTTATTAACACTGGAGTTGACTATACCAGATCTTTCGTTTTAAAAGAAAGTCCCGGTCGCGAATGAAAAACTTAGGCATTTGCTATTTACTTTATTTGTCTCTCATCCAAGACCGTTCACCTAGAAATCGTTACTGACCTGAAGAGTATTGCCTTCGTAGCAGCTTTAAAACGATTTTAATCCAGATGAAGAAAATCTCAAGCTCTTTGTTTAGACAATGGTACTACCTAAGACCTTTAACCTCTATACCAGAAAAGAGCTGCTTTATAGAAATTAACTCTAATTGGAAAGACCACTTGGTAAGACTCTAACAGCTTCGATAGCATGTAAAAAAGCGATGATCATTGAAGTATTTATCTGAATTGTAGTCCAGGCAAAAATGAAAAAAAAAATTAAAATTAAGGATCAATGAACTTGTTCTTCTTAATGAGCCTCATCAACTTACAATGTAGTGGACTTCCGGACAAATGATCCACCTCTATACTGGTTCTGATGGTGTGGCAGGAATGGTTTCCATTCGAACTGCCAGAAAAAAAAACATTCATTGATCGCAAGAATCCCAGTATTTTAATTACCAATTTTGTATAATTTTTTGTTAAGATTTATGTAAATCTTTATTTTTTCTATTTGTTTGTAGATCCCACCTAAAGTATACTCTTTGACAGCAAAAATTCAAAGTTTGGTATTAAAAACCATCACCTCCATTGACTACTGCGCAGTGAATGGCCTAAAAGAGATTACTAAATCTGGTTTGGACTTAGCTGAAGGTGTGTTCCTTTGCATAGCAAGCGAAGCAACGCAGAACAATGATTGTGTACCAATGGCGAATAATACTTTAACGCCAAAGTAAATAATGTGTATATTACATTATGAGGTTTGACTATAAGTTGCAATGACTTTTGTGTGATTATATTATATTCTAACTATATGATGATTCTATTATAACTATATTTTTTATTAGATTTTAGGATAAAAAAAAATTTTAATAAAGTATTCTGCTTCTTTTTTATTTTGTTAAAAAAAACAGTAAGGAAAATGACGGATAAAGAAAAAGTTCTAAATAATATTTATCGTGTATTGAATAAACTAATTAAAAGATAAGATATTACTGAAAAAAAAATAACCTTTGTTCTTAATACTCTGTTCATCGAACTATGTAGTCACTTGAACAACATATTTGATTTAAAAATAATATTATGTCGATATCTAATTACCAAACAATACGGTAGGCTTGCAACCTGACTCCTTATCTTATCTTGGTACTGCAGGAGGTCCAAAAAGATACGAAATGTTAATATCTGATTGACTGACTTAGTTAAGTAGTTTTAGATACTGTTTCTATGCCACAAATTCGGTTATGTTTTAGTTAAAAAAAATTAGATTGGTTTTGGTAATTTAAAAACAATGAGTTGGTTAAGATATCAGAACACATATACGAGATGGGACTGGTCTATTTGAAATAATAAATAATACCAGTGTTACAGAGGAAAATTATTATTTATTAAAACACCCCTTAAGGGCTGCTTTAATAATAAAAAAAACATGTTTAGATTTGGTGAACTTCAACAATAAACTAATACTAAACTGAAACCATTGTAGGATAAAAAGAAGTGTTGCCTTTTTAGGGATACAAAAATGTATCATACCTTTATCTGGAATGAAAAAAATAAATAAATCTGAACTAAAGAAACATTCTAAAATTTGTAATTCTAAAAACCCAGTACATTACAGCAAATATAAAAGATATAAAAATCATTACAATGCTGAATTGACAAGAACGAGAAAGCTAGCATATGGCCAATTGATATTAACTTCAAAGAGTTTATCCAAGACGTGTTGGAAAGTAATTAACTATGAGCGAAATAAAATAAATGTCAAATGTCACATATCTTGTGATTCTTTCAATAACTTTTTTGTTGAAATTGCTGAATATATTATAAAATCTCTTCCAAATACACCAAACGACACAATTTTGAAGTATCAAAAATTTGCATCTCCATCGAATTCATTTTTTCTGTCTTCAACCAATCAACAAGAAGTATTCACAGTTATAAAAACATTAAAAAAATCTGGCTCTCCGGCTCTGGAACTCACTTCAGCAATGTATGTTACCTGAAGTCATATTTAATTTAATACTGAACATCACAGTTTTTTAAACAAGATGTATAATCTTTTACACTATATGTAATTTAAAGGGTTTTTACCCATGTATTTTGGTGGCTCAGGCATTTTAACCTAGCAATTTTAAAATTTAAACCTGATGATGGACTGTTTAGTCCGAAAACGTTTGTTTTTTTGATGTAGCCCTTTTAAGGGTTTTAAATAAATATACCCACTCACGAAGACTAACCTCTTTTTTGTGATACGTGCTATACAGCCAGCTACAGGAATTGTTTTCCTTGTGGATTTTATATCTTCAACTTCATTTAATACTCCAAGATTGTTTCTATTTTTTTAAAAGAGCGATCGTGACCTTGTAAACAATTAAAGACCAATTTCCATCGTTTCTATATTCAGCAAAATAATCCAAAAAATTCTGAAGAAGCGTCTTATATCGTACTTCGAAACAAATAACTTTTTACTAGTTCACAAAATGGTTTAGAAAGATTCCATAACTTATGCACATTTAGATGTGATGAATGCCATAGTTGATGGGCATTTAGAAGCATAATCACTCTGCCATAACGCTGTGTGATCTTTCAAAAGCCTTCGACTGTGTTGCTCAGAATATTTTGCAAAAAAACTGCATTTTTACGGTATTAGAGGTACTCCTTTGGAACTAATTTCATCGTATCTAAAGGATAGATACCAAGCAGTCGAGTACAGAAATTGTCTCTGAATTTAAGCAGATAAAACGTGGAGTTCCACAAGGATCAGTTCTGGGCCCTTTATTATTTATAATATATGTTAATGACTTGCCTAATCTCATGTCTTCATTTAAAACAGTTTTATTTACAGATGACACCACTTTTGTTTTTTTTTATAAAAATCGTTCAGTTTTGCAAACTAGGTCTGAGTATGTAAATTCCAATGCTCAATCATAGTTCTTAGCAAATAAACTTAAAATAAATAATAACAAAACTCAAAATTGAATCACTTGGTAATGCTCTCTTAGTCAAAAAGAGAAAAAAGACAAAGGAATGAGGATAATTGGTTGAAAGAAACCAGGAACAGAATAAAGAATTCTGGACAGGGGTATACTTCTAGAACAGGAAAACCTGTAGCTGCTAAAAAATGGAACCTGTTTGTACCGACAAATGCCGTTTGAAATGTCCAAATAGGGTATCTGAAAAGCTGAAAAGTTTAAAGAGTATTGGGCATTAGGGTATTTGCAAAGACAGTGAGATATTTTGACTTCTTGTATATTGCCACTTAAGTGAGCTACCGATGTATTTCTACATCAAAAACCACTCCTAGAAATACAAATTGTGCATTTTTCATTACAGGCAAGGGAAAATAAAAATGTATATGTAAACAGTTTCTCATTATTACTTTTGAAATAAGTGAAAGAGCTATTTGCTCTATAAGTAAAGTAGTTTCAAGTAAAAAACTACCATTATACCAGAAGATAAACGTGGGAAGCATGAGAGTCACTAGCAAGTAAGTTACAAAATTTTGGATTCTGTTCCTAGTCATGGAAATTCAATTCTACGAATTGAAAGTCACTATATTCGAAGTGATTCTTCGAGGCAATATAGGTATAGACGGCGGTTTAATTATTGCGGAACTTCACACGAGGTATATAAAGGAACAAAAAGAAGCAAAAGAAGAAGAGTCATAGTAGAGTCAGAATATGCAAACAAACATTGAAAGTCCCTTAGAGGAAAAGGATCCAAGTCGTAAAGAAAAACCTAACGATAAACTGAAAACAAAAAATTCTGATAACAATATACATCTGGCTGATTTACAAGCAGTGTACCTGTACCAATAGGACAAAAAAGGAGAAGTCTCCGAAACAGATTAGAATGAACTTATGGGGAATAGAGGGGCAATAGAAATCGGATCTTGCGTTTATTACTATCTAAAAGAAGTGTCAATAACCAGCGCAGGAGTTGATGTGACTTTTTATTCTGATAACTGTGGAGACCAACAAAAAAAATTCTAATAGCCATGTACCTGTTTGCTGTCAATACTTTGGACATCAATTCTATTACTCACAAGTACCTTGTTCGCGGTCACACCCAAACTGAAGGTGATTCAGTCCACAGCATAATAGAAAAAGCAATGAAGAGAGCAAAAAAATCAGGGCCCATATACATTCCCCAAAATACGTTGAATTAATTAGGAATGCTTAAAAAACAGGAGCTCCTTTAACCGTTAAAGAAATGGATTTCAAAATAACTGAAGTAATGGTACTTCAAAGCTTTAAAGCAAAAGATTACTTCCTCTAAAAAAAAGTTATAAACAATCAACGTGGACAAAAGTTGATGTTTGCCAAAAACAAGGGTTGGAGTACATCGGAATTGTTTACACATAAATGCCAGCTGCGTAGGGCTTACTTTTTAAAAATTCCTTTAGGTGATAACAAACTATATAAATGATTTAAAACAGTTACTTTCAAAACATATAATTCCTGGATTTTGTAAAGCCTATTACGAGTAAATCTTTCGTGGATACTTTTTTTTTCAATTTCAATTTTATTTTTAAATCCTTTTTATTAAAATTGTTTGCTTTTACTAACATTTTAGATTTGTTTAATAAAATTTTTCAATGACTCTTTGTGCTTATTTTGATTCCACCTTTTCAAAACTAGCTAGGTAACCAAAAATGTTACAAAATAAAATGAGTATGGTCTGTGGAAATTTAATCTTTAAAACTAAATTCTAAATTTTTCTTTCTAAAAATAAATTCTAATTTTTTAATTTTTTCTTCTTAATTTGATCTCCAATTGCAATTACGTCATTGTTGCCTCAGTTATTATGTGGCAACAATGACGTAATTGCAATTGCGGATCAAATTTAGGGATGAAAAATTCAGAATTCGTTTCGAATGTGTAATTGAGTTACAGTACATCACGGTGGATAAGTATAACTTCAATATTAATCCAGTAACTTCATTATGCTTCATTGTATGAGGTATTAAGTAAAATAATTTTATATTTTTGGCTCTCCTGAAAAGTTACACTTTTGTAGTTGCGTTATTGTTCCACCGGGACAGCGATATTATCTTTTTTACTTATACATATAATTGACTTGCTACAAATAAATGTAAAATTTGTAAACGTAGTTAAATAAATGTTGAATCTTGAATCTTAATGGTATGTATGATAGCTCGTGCTTAATGATTAACTACACCTGCCTGAAGATTACAGTTTTTTTAAAACTATCAACTTTATCAAGACTGATAATATACCAATATGTAGTATAAATATAATGAAAAATTTAGTACTGATAGTTACATTATCGAGCAGCATCGAATCAAAATGGCTAAAATCATCCTCTTCTTCTGCGCTATTATTTTGGCTTCAGTAAGTAATTTATTTTTATATTAATTTAACAATAATTTTTGTGATAAGTTTTTTTGACTAAATTGTTTTGTTTTATAATGAGAACAAACTTTTCTAGAATATAAATATATTCTTTAAATGAAATCTCTAAACTTTGTTAATTTGGTAAATTTGCAGTAAATCTTGTATCATATATTGATCTTCTCAGATTTCCTTTCACCCAATTATGAGATTTCTTCCTTTTATATCGTAGTCTTTTAAACAAAGAGGTATCATCATCTGAGAAATCTGAGAATGTGGCAGAAATGACAGTTTTCTTAACATTGTCTGGTAAATTTTCACGCTGGTCATTGTCACTATCTTGACACAATATTATCTCATTTGTACCGTCTTCATGGAATAGATCTGATTCTTCACTATTAAAACTATTTGGAATTCTAACTGCATTCATTGTACCATAAAAAAGTTTTCGAGATACTTTTAATATTCATAATTTTTAGTACTGACCTAAGCAGATATCTAATATCACAAAACAATAAATTTAAATTTTTTTTTTTTTCGTAAAAAACGTTTTTACTATGAAAAATAACCTCTAACTTGGAGTACTTTTTCACGTGGTTCAGAATTTAGGGTTAGACTTTAGGGTTTAGAATTAAAAAAGGATTAAGTTTTTGCTTTGAGTTTTATTTCTACCTTTTCCCTTTATGAGCAGTTTCTTAAAAAAAATTTAATGTTTATACTAAAAAAGTAGAAGAAATTTTTATTTATTTTTTTAAATAGTTTTTATTTGTTTATTTATATTATTTTTTTTTGTTAATTTTTTTTTTAATGATTTTTAATTTATTAAAATATTTTTATATCCCTAATTATATAAAAGAAGGTAGATCCAAGAACTACCCTAGCATAAAATAATTCTTGTAAATTCTTATACTTAAATCGTTTAGTAAAATAGATTTTTTGACGCATAAAATACAATAAAGTTTTTTTTTATCTTTCAGGCTGTAGCTTCACCTAGTAAAGCAGCAGCTGATGACTCCCTAATTGACATCATCAAAAAGATCGTCCATAAGATTGAAGACATCATTGATAAAATTTACGAAAAAGCTCCAGGCATCATCGATGGATTCGCCGACAACTATGACGACAACCTAAAAAAAGCGCTAGACTTTTTGGAAAAAATCGCTCTTCAAGGTATAAGAGCATTTAAACCTCTCATTGACAGAATTGCTGAAGGTAAGATGATAATTTAAATAGCAGGAAATTAAGCTAGTCTATATCCAAAAGATCAGTATACATGAGTCAAGCCATTAAATATGTGGCTAAAATCTCTTAAAATGATACAAAATTTGTTATTTATTTCATCTTTGTTAATAAGAGGGTGTGATATTAACGTTTTTAACAAATTCCCTACATAGCAACGTAAGACTTTCAAATTACGGGTTACTAACAACAAAACGATCTGTACAACATATTTTTATGCTATATTTAATACTATATTTTCATACTTATCTACTAAATAATCTACATTGTCTAATTCCCTCATTTATCATATTTTTTACCTATCATCTACATAACGCTTTACTGGCAGCTTTTAACACATCTGAAATATCACTATCATAATCGCTAATATTTTCTTCTGTTTCATTTCAACGAACACTCTTACATATTTTCCTACCTTTCACCTTTTTCTCATCAATTACTCCACCAAGACGACCCCTCAGATGTCTGGCAACGATTTCTTCTACACCGTACCCTACATCTTCAGAGGTTACTTCTCCAGCTCCAATGCCACTATCTATTTAGCTATTCGCTATCTTTGTCGGTAATTAATCGTCGAAAATTAGAGGTTTGATTAGACTAAATCGCAGCTATACTAACCGGTTTCATTACATTTATTTGTATATGTTTAAGAGACGTCATTATTCTATTTTTAGGTAGCAATGATGCTGGAAAAAAACTAGTTTCTTGTATTGAAAGCCATGACACTGAAATCGTAGACATTCGCATCCAAGTTCTAGATGGAGTAGGTAAATGTATCATGAATGACCTCGTCACTTTGGTTAAAACTCTTTCACCTATCCTTAAAGATCTATCTGGTATTCACGAAAAGGCCAAAGAAGCAGCCAATGAAATTGACGAATGCCAAGGAAATGATGCCCAAACTCTACTCTGTGTTGTTCAAGTGAGTAGACTGTTTATTTTTAGTTATAACATGACTGTATTAAATAACACCAAAATATTAAACGCAATGTACTTCTACCAACAAATCAGATTAAACTAAAATTTATTTTGCAGGTTGCCTCTGATCTACTCAAAGTTTTAACCGAGATTCCTGATGCTGTGAAAGGCGATATTAAACCCGTCTATGAGGCTGCTATTGCTATAGCTAAGGATGGATTAAAATGTGATGAAGACCAAATTGAACCCTTCTTTGCCAATGCTGGAAAACTTTTGGGAGAAGTTGCTAGCTGTGCCGCTGCCTAATTTATTAATTTTTTTAATATTTATTAATAAAACTGTTTAATAAACCTAGTTTTTATTTATCTACATAGGCTAATATCCAGACAATTTGGAATCTGTTACAAATTTTAAAGTATAATAGGGCGAGTCTTTAACAAGGTTTGGAAAGCATTTTCATAAAGTGTTTAACATAAGCATAACATGAAAAGAAAATTTAAAGGATATTAGCTTACTGCAAAAAACAATTTTGAATTCCTCAGTTTTTCGGCAAAACTGAATAAAAATAAAAATTGAAATAACAATTGGAGAAATAGTAAGGAGTTAGTCGGAAAACCTCGACGAAGCTTGTATTGCTCGCGCCAATAGAATGAGCAGCAAGAGATCAAAAGATGCAAAGTTATGAAAAAAACTTTGATTGACCATTAACAGCTTTTAATTTATAGTAAGAGCACTCAATATGCACCAGAAATCGCTGATTAGAGGTTAATAAATAAATATAGCTATTTTAGTCCACAAAATTACAGTAAAAATACTTTTTCTCGAAATCATGTTTTTCAAAACTGAGAGACGTTTTCTCCAAATTAATCCTACCAATTTCAGTTAATCAAAATTTTTGTGATACTTTATATATACTGCTACTAAATAAACCACTAAAAAGTTAAAAAAAAAGCAACCCACCTTTTAAGTACAAGAGTAAATTCACCCTCACAATAGGCTTTTTCGAAATTATAAAATTGTATATAAAAGCCTTAACAATATAAAAAAACTTAATTATTTAAGAGCGTAGGCGCAAAATTTTGGGCCGATGCATTTTAAATGTTTTCATTTTTTTCGAATCCTGAGAAAACTAATAAATATTTTTGAAAAATTTAAACCCAGAATGAAAGAACACATTATTACCGAAGGCCGAAAGTCCATGAAAACTTCTATAATGTATATTTTAATAAGTTACAGGGGTGAAAAAAAAAAGAGAAAATTTAGTGTGATTTTTAAGTTTAAATTAATATCTGATCTAAAAAAACTTTTTGTTTATTCTAAAGGACTTTCGGCCCTCGGCAATAATGTAATCTTTCATTCTGCGTTTAAAAATGTCAAAAATATTTGTTAGTTTTCTCAGGATTCGAAAAAAATGAATGCATTTAAAAAGCATTGGCCCGAAATTTTGCGCCTACGCTCTTAAGGCATATTTAATAATTTAAATTGTCAAGAATTGAATTTCGTTAAAATTAAACAAAAATTGTTACAGGGGGCCGAAAAAAGTGTCCCCCAAATTAAAATACATCTTTTAAAAGACGCCCTTTGCAGTGGTGAAAAATAAATAAAAGTGTAAAATTTCTTTGTACATACCCTACCTAACAATAAGTAAAAAGATTATGACCATAAATATGATATTATTTTTTGTTTAATATTTAAAAGTTGTCTTTTTTTAATTTAGAAAGTAAAAGTCGGATTAAGAACTCAAAGATTACATATGGTATAATGGCTTTAGTAAGTTTTCAATTTCAAAATTATTTTTAAATATGTATACCAGGTCATCAAGAGAAATTTATAATAAACTTTATATAAAGATATAAATAAGAAGCTGATAAACACTTCTGTTTGTAAGATATAAATTTAAATATCCAATTAAATCTATGCTTTGAATAATACTAAATATATTATGTATTTAATAATATTAAATTGTATAACATGTTTGCTACAAATAGTTTACAACGTTTTAAATGCAACAGTATAGCGTTGTATATTTTATATTCCCTAACTTTGGGACTGAACAGTTGGTCATGACAACCGATGAAATATCTATGCAATATGTAATTGCTAAAGAGCAATTACAACAACACAACAACAAGAACCTCCGATGCAATTGACATTAAACAACCGAAAAATAGAACAAGTGGAGACATACACATACCTTGGAACCACAGTCAACACAAAATGGGACCAGTCAACAGAAATAAGATCACGAATTGAAAAAGCGCGAAACGCGTTCAACAATATGAAAAAGTGGTTCACAAGCAAAATCTCAATGGAACTAAAATTAAGACTGGTCAAGTGTGATGTCTTCCCGGTCTTGATCTATGGAGCAGAGGCATGAACCACAACGGAAGCCACCCTGAAGAAACTAGAATCCTTTGAGCTGTGGATATATTGCCGTATTCTTCGGATATCCTGGACAGACCACATCACTAACGTGGAAGCAATGCAGAGAATAGGCAAAAGCAAAGAAATAATCTTCACCGTAAAGAAACGGAAGCTTGAGTACTTCGGACATGTCATGAGGCATACTAAGTACCAGCTGCTACAGTTAATAGTCCAAGGAAGAATCGACAGTAGGAGGGGACCAAGAAGAACACGACACTCATGGATGCATAACCTGCGACAATGGTTCGGACTAACATCGAGCGAACTGTTCAGAGGTGCCGTAAACCAAGAAGAAGAAGAAAGAGCAATTACTTGCTAACTAGACGTGGCTTTGCACATCACATTCTCATTGTTGTTTCATTATCATCCAGCCTCAAGAGTCCACTGCTGAACCTAGGCCTCTTCCTCATGTTTCCAACCCCATCTATCTTGCGCCGCTCTTATCCTTGCGGCCCTCTTATCTTAAGTACTCAATTAAAACTGGATAAGATTGTTGTTTACCACATCACAATTGCCATTCTTGACATATCTTCTTTCTCTAGGTTTGTCCGCCTTTTATTCTACACATTTTTTAGAGACGTTACATATTCGTGATTTTTTATTGTTTTGCATAGGATATTGACTGGGGCGCTATCACAGACCTTTAGAAGGTCCATTTATACATTGTGCCATTCAGCGTTAAACGCGATTGTTTTTTCTATGAGCTGTTTTAGAGAAAATATATTATCAGTTTGTGAACGTCCAGGACGAAAACCACTTTGTTTTTCTGAAGTTCGCAGTTGTCCTTCATCTTTTATTTTAATTATTTTTCCAAACAACCCTTCCACAGATGTTGCCACATCTATTCACCTATAATTATTACAATCTTTATTGTTTACCTTTTTCCATTACAAAAAGTAACATTTTTCCATTCCTTAGTATCTTTTCATCATTTTTCCACACGTTCGAAGGAACGTGTTATTGCAGTTCTACAGATAGGTCTAGAGAACCACCTCCTCTGTTATTTATAATCCTTTTTAGGGTCTCGCATGTCGTAATCGCAATAATGCTTTTAAAATATAGATGGAGACCACTGCTTTAAATGCCATTTAAACATATCGGTTCTAGATAAACCAACCAGCATCTCTCTATTACTGTTTACTCTAGAATTTTAAGTTCTTTGGTCATATCCATCGAAGTGATAAAAAAATGGAGCAAATGGTAGTTCGGGTAGGCCTCAGAGTCAACGCCAATGCGGCAGATCCCAACAGATCTCCCCTGTCTTCATGTTTGAAGAGAAGTATTGTCAAACTTTAATTCCAATCATCTGGGACTTCTCCTATATGAAGAAATTTGTTGAAAATAATTTTTAATTCTTCGAGAATTATTTCACTTCCCTACTTTACCATTTCTACAAGTATTCCATCTAGGTTTGAAGCCTTATTGTTCTTTAGTTGTGCCCCAGCTTGTTTTATTTCGAAGGATTCTATGTTAGGGAGTATTTATGAGCTGACGTTCATTATCTTAAGATCATCCTTTGCAGTGTTATCTGGGCTTTTGTTTGAGGATATAAATCATGGTAAAATGTTTGAGTAACTTTTAGGATTTCGTTTTTTTCTCTTATTTCTTTTCCATCTTTATCCTTCAATAAGATTATTATAGGCTTTCCTAAGTTTATAGATTCCATTATAGATTCTTAAATCTTTCCCTTCTCCCTTCTTTATTTGCTTATTTAATTCTGTAAAACCATTGGTGTTTCGCTTTCCTTCGCTTAGAAATGTGAGTCCCTTTTCCATGATGATTGTGTAGGTACTGTAAATGTAAATACTGAATCGGATCACGATATATTCCTTTTAAGATTGAATTTTATTAATCTAACTATGACAAGAGTTCGAAATACTTTCAGAGTAACACATGAAGGCGCTATAGATGCATTCAACAATCTCTTGAGTAAAGAAACATGGCAAGATGTTTATCATGCAACTGATGTTGAGAGTAAATATAATGCCTTTCATGATAAATTACAGTTCTATTTCAATATTAGTTGTCCTATTAGAGAAACCAAACATTACCAAAACAAAAAAATACATGGGTCACCCAAGAAGTAAAATCTTCTTGAGATAGTCTGAAGGATTTGTATATATTGAGTAAGACTTACCCTGAGCTAAAAACTCTACATAGACAAAAAAAATATCAGCACAAAGTTCTTGTTGAGGCCACAAAGAGTCAATTTTATTTTAACAAAATCTCTAAACCCTCTAACAAAAACAAAACCACATGGGCTGTTATAAATGAACTTAATGAAAAACAAAAAAATCACAAAAATATCTGTCTAAAAATAGATGATACTAGGATTATAGATTCAGATATAATATCAAACAAATTTAATGATTACTTTATAGATGCACCAGTGGATATAATTAGTAAAATAATTAAACCAAATTTAAATTTTCAGCATTCCAATGATTTTGTTCAAACTAGTTTGTTCCTATCTTATGTAACAGAGGAAGATATCTTAGATATAATAAAATATAAAATTAAAAACAAAGCATCGTGTGGTTTTGATCAAATATCAGGTATAGTAATTAAGAAAATTGCGTCTCAAATTTTGACACCACTGACTCACATTATAAATGCTTCTTTTAATACTGGTGTTTTTCCCAATATGCTGAAAACTTCTATCATTTCACCGGTATTAAAACAAGGTGATCCTGAATTAATGTCAAATTTTCGACCATTGTCTGTTCCATCTGTGATATCTAAGATTATTGAATATGCAATGCTAAAACAACTTTTATTATTTTTAGATATCAACCAAATTATCACAAAGCATCAACATGGATTTCGAAATAAATTTTCTACTTCCACAGCCATTAACAGTTTTTATGATGAAGTCTTACTCTCAATGGAGAACAGTGAAAATCCAACTGCCATTTTTTGCGATCTCAGTCGTG